TTTGATGGCATATCAGGTCTCTTTTTCTCAGTTTTGTTTATAGATGAGAGAATTGAAGAAAGCAATGTACAAAGTTTCCTTAGGTTGTATGATTAAAATCTTTTCAAATGAGAGTATATATAAAGGTTACTCTCCATTATGACATGTATTATTAATTTCTGGAAAACAATCTATCATTGAAAATATTTACCTTTTGATTAATTTATAAATACATTTAACGTTCACTCTGTTTCCAGCACAGAGTACTACAAGAGTAGCAGCTTGATAGGTGCTACTACTATTAGAATCAATGATGACTAGCAATTATTCATCAGATATCATTTACACAGTAGAGCTAATGTGTGTGTGTGTAGTGATATTTAGGTTGAATGGTATTTTTCTGCCAAAATCCTGTACAACGCTTTCAATGCGAACAGCCATCTAAGCTGTCCAGCACTTTCCTCATCTCTACTGTGATCACTGTTTATTTTGGAGACCATGAAATAGAAGTTTTGATTACTTTTCAATATTATTTAATGCCATTAAAAATCTAAATATAAAAATCTGATATTTAAATAAAACTTTAACTCATTAATTTTTAAAAATTTTAGATATTTATTTGGGAAACTAAGAAACAGAGAGAGAGAGAGTTGTAGATACATAGAGAGACAGTTTCCATTGGCTAATTCCCTCCCCAAATGCCCAAAACATTTAGTACTGTGTAAAATCCAGGAACAAGGACTTCCATCCAAGTCTTCCAATGGGAATCAGGAACCCAATTTCTGAAACCATCACCACTGCCTTCCAGTGGTTTCAATAGCAGAAGCTGGAATGAGGAGCCAAGTACCAAACCCAGATACTTCCATGTGGAACATAGCATATTAACTGACACCTTAATTTTACCTTACACACCAGCTCTCTCTTTTAACCACTCTGATACAACCATTATGATATTTCCAAAATGTGATTTGATTTGATTATAAACATTTTGTTTTATAATTGGTTTAGATTTACTCTATGTGAGTTTTCATTTACATTTTATGATCAATTATATATATATGAATGCAACATATATATTATTATATATAAGTATATATTGCATTTATATATTATATATATTCATATATATATTATATATATGTGAATTCAATCTGGCTGTGAAATTCTAAACTAGGATTTCCTTCAAGATAGGAAGCATATTCCCAGAATACAAGAAAAGCTACTAAAACACAAAACACAAAATAGAGTAAATGTTCATTGTGTTACTTAAGAATAATGGAATGTGAGTTAACACACAGATAAACAACAGCACAGAAAACCAAAATAGCTTAGAGAAGATTCTTCTAAGACAGAAGGCAGAACTGGTCATTCAGAGATGTTGCTATTTTGTGAGAAAGAGAGTTAGATTAACGATTCAGAGACAGGTTGTGCATCTTTGCTAAATATGGAACACATCAGGGAAAAGGCCCACATGACCAACAAAGATAAGTGTTTAGAAAAGAATACAGAAGCTATATTTGAAAACAGCTGTTAATGTATACTTAAAGTTTTTTTTATCTGTATGCATTATTCATTTTATTATGAAGTATTATTCAGCATCATTTAAGAGGAGAAGGTTTTAAATGACTAGGCCCTTGGAACAGAGCCCTGGTACGTGACTGTCATATGTTATTTGCCATTTGTCACCCTTGCTATTCATTTTAATGATTCTATTAGCCATATCAAGAGTGTCCTCATAATCGGTCTACATTTCTCTGTAATTACTCCCATTGTTCCAAGGCAGAAGCTCAATGTGAGGAAAACATGGTACACATTTTTGAATCAATACATCTTTCCCAATGCTTTTATAGCATTTCATTTGTAAAATCGGCTTTATTAAGATGTCAATAGTTCCAGCATTTGATGTAAAAAGCAGAATGGAGTCTGTCAGACCTAATGATCTAAAATGCAATCTTTAATTATGTTTTCCCAGATTCATTATTAAAGTTAAGAGTTTTTAATGTCACTTAGCAAATGATTTGATTCTTTGAGAAACTGGAGGGAAATATGCTTAGTGTAGTACTTATATCAGGTTGAAAATGGTAAAGAAAGTATGTAAGTTCAGGCAATAAGAAGTAAAATATAAGGAGATAGAAGTTAACATTTATGGTTTTTAATCAAGTAGCAAGTGAATATCCTGGAAAATTTGGGTTAAAAATAATTAACTAGAAAGTCAGGAAAAGAAGAATAAAAGCTCTTAATTTTCAATTTTTGTTCTATTAAGGTAGAAGAACTCAGGCAAAAGTCACCTCTTACAGATTCAGGGATTTTTTAAGGTAAAAATGGGTATTTTAAGTTAGATTGTTATTATTTACTATGAGTAAAATAATAGATGATTCACATTAATATTTCTACTTAAGCATCAGGCTTGTTTTCTTGATTATGATATTTTAGCCTTTTTAAAAGCAAGAATTTTAAGGCCTTTAAGATTAAAAATCAGTATGAAATACCTATAAATATTACAAAGATGAGAAGCATCTGACTGTTGAGATGATAGCTGGATGAATTAATATCTAATAAGTTCTAAATGAAGTGTTATATATAAAACACTAAAAAGTGGGATGGAGTAAATGTGTAACAACAGAACACAAATAGTACTGCTATGTATGTCCCAAGTTGATTTTGACATTAAAATATATGTGAGGGCCGGCACCGCAGCTCAATAGGCTAATCCTTGGCCTGTGGTGCCGACACACCGGGTTCTAGTCCTGGATGGGGTGCCGGATTCTGTCCCAGTTGCCCCTCTTCCAGTCCAGCTCTCTGCTGTGGCCTGGGAGTGCAGTGGAGTATGGCCCAAGTGCTTGGGCTCTGCACCCGCATGGGAGACCAGGAGAAGCACCTGGCTCCTGGCTTCGGATCAGCGCGTCAGCCATAGCAGCCATTAGAGGGTGAACCAACGGAAAAGGAAGACCTTTCTCTCTGTCTCTCTCTCTCACTGTCCACTCTGCCTGTCAAAAAATAAAAAAATAAATAAATGATATTAAAATATATGTGAAATAAAGTTTTAGGGTACACAAAGTTCTCTGTAAATATTATGGCATATTTTAAATTTCCCTTTCATATCTACTATGAAGGAACAAAACACAAACTGTGGATAGCACCCATTCATAATTTCATTCTATTCCATTCATTACAAACACCTTTATCAGTGAGCATGATGAGCATGATTCTTAGCTTCATGTTCTTGCTTTGAGCAATGAAATAAGAAACAAGATATTTTTCATATAAAACTAAATAAGCGATAGAGTATAAGGTTGCATAAACAATGACATGCAGACAAATTATGAGGACATTCTTGATGTGGCTAAAGGAATCATTAAAATGATTGTCCTCTTCACTGTGATGATTTTTTAAACCTCATTTGTTGCACTACTATTTATTATTTAATTTCTTATTTTATACACAATTATTGCATTGTGTTCTCATTCTTTCAATTTCTGGACTGTTTTCCTAGAGTCATTTTTTTCCTCACTTATTTATTTTTCCCTAAATTAGCCCTGCAAAATATAATGCTACATACAATGTACTTAAAATTATAGAAAAGCATGACAATTAAACTTGAACCCTCATTTATTTTTTTCACTGCTTCAGTAAGACAAAGGATGTTTATCGGTGTGAGTATTGGGTAGAAACTGGCAAAAAGAATGTCTTTCATATTGCAATGTATGTGGGAAAAAGTTTTTTTTCTTATTTATTTGACAGATGAGTTAGTGAGAGAGAGAGAGAGAGACAAAGAGGAAGGTCTTCCTTCCATTGGTTCACCCCCTAAATGGCCGCTATGGCTGGCGCTGCACTGATCCGAAGCCAGGAGCCAAGTGCTTCTTCCTGGTCTCCCAGGTGAGTGCAGGGCCCAACCAATTGGGCCATCCTCGACTGCCTTCCCAGGCCAAGCAGAGAGTGGACTGGAAGAGGAGCAACCGGGACTAGAACCCAACGTCCATGTGGGATGCCAGCGCCGCAGGCAGAGGATTAACCTAGTGAGCCACGGTGCCAGCCTCTGAAATACAGTTCTTTACAAAACTGAAAAAAGCTGATCTTTCCATCTGAACAAATAGATCTAAACATTGAATCTTCCACTAATAATGAACCCTATTCTTTGCATCCATCAGACCATTGCAGAGATGACACGTAGAGAGCGTGGCTGCAAGGATTTGAAATCCAAGAATCATCTTTTCCTATGCAACATAGCAACGCTTGATATCTATATGGAAATGCTATTGTAGAAAAGCCCCCTTAAATATTTGGCCTTCTGAACATTTTATGCGTACAGTTCGCACTATTTGGCTCATTTATCAAGCACATAGGCACCCCGTTGGGGTTATTGCATTCAAGGTGTTGATAACTTTATAGAGGAGTTAAGATGTATAATATGATATTAAACTTCTAAAATCTCTGTCTTGCAATAATATGTAAACTCTTGGACACATTGCTTAATGGTTCTGAATTTTCAGTTTAACAAGAATATGAGCTTACCAACTGAAGCTGTTGTCAGTTTTGCTGTAACCAGCTAAACAAATTCACTCATACGTCCTTCTTTACCTTGAATCTATTCTTCAATTTGGGGAACAAAAACAGGGCAGGTTTGGCCTAGTTATCATCATGGATTTATTGTGAGCGGATTTTACATGAACTAATTTACAAATATAGAAATCTGAGTTTAGATCCATTACCTATTATGAATATTTAGAATTCAAATGTGGCAGGGTATATTTTTTTCTTTGATCATACCTTGATGACTTTGAAAAATATTATTGCTGAAATATAAAATTTGGCTAAATTTTTTAGTCAACTGCCTCTTTCTAAAACTTCTGGAGGAAAAAAATTAGTGATGAATCTTGTCCATGGACCAATGCAGGGTTGAAATTTCTCATCTCTCTAGCCTGTAAGATTTATTGGTGATTTGATAAACTTACATATGCACAAACAAGACATATATATATATATATATATATATATATGAGTACTTCAAAAAAGTCCATGGACATGCATATTCTGAAAAAAAAAAACAGCCAGAGATTTAAAAAATTATGTGCCCAAATAAACATCTTTTTATCTCATTTCCATGAACTTTTTGAGGTATCTGTGTGTGGATGCTGATGTACATATATTGTCTATTTACACTGTATAGTCATACACACATTTTTGTGCATGTACATGTGTGTGTGTGTGTATACACAGGCAATCCCCAACTACCAACTACCTTACAACATTTTGACTTTACAAGTAGGTGAAAAGAATACATATGCAGTGAAAACAGTACTTTAGACTTCGCATTTTGATCTTTTCCTTGGCAATATAAGATTCAAGTTCTCTGATGGTGCTGGACACCGTCAGTGGGTTACTACAAGTATTTGGAAGATAAAAAAACAGATAATCTGCAGTGTACATTGTAGTGTTTTTCCTTTTTGATACAGTGTTTTATGTTTTTACATCTTACTGTGTCTGCAGAATATCCATCTGTGTGTGTACCTGAAGTATGCAACTGTTTATTATAAAATAGGCTCTGTGTGAAATGATTTTACTTAATTTTAGGCAACTGTAAGTGCTTGGTGCCCATGTTATTCAGGCTAACTCAGGCACAATGTTTGATGCATTTTCAGTTTTAATGGATTCATCAGGATATAGTACAGTACTTAACAATTCAAGCAGTAATTTCACATCTATTGTCCAAACTAATTTCATGAGACGTAGAAAATTACCACAACTTGAAATAATATAATAAGTTGGATGTATTATTTTTCACCATTATTGTCTTTCAAAATATTTGGTTTATTTTATTTATTAATTTTTTCTTGGTTTTATTTTAAGTTATATGTGTTTTATTAAGAGAAGTCATGATTCCACGGAAAGAGATGTTGGGATAAACTCAGGACAATCTGGAGTGCCATTTATTGAGAATCACAAATCTGCTGGTGGATATTAACACCAAATCCATTATCTGTAAAAATAATTATTACAACATTCACAGGCTCTCAAGAAAATCAAGGAGATCACATTTCCAAAATCATCAAACACAGGATTTGACTTACGTTATGATTTCTTAATTATCCCCTTATTCAGAAAGTATGAAACTTGCTACAACTGATAAATTCTAATCATTCTTATTAACAAATTGTATGCACATGTTATTTGTTTCCAAAGCAAAACCTGTCTCCCCTGCAGCAATTTATTTTTATCACATATTTTATCATGATAAACAGATACCAGGTTATATTTGTATCACTAAACTCTAATTTTACCTACTGAGAAAGCATTTCTTGACCTCAAGCAATTTTTACTTTGAAAAATTATATTCTCTGTCAAGGCCATAATGGCAAATCTCATTTTCTATTTTGCATTCTTAGGGATTCAGTGACTGCTTAATTTGATGGTTTGGAATATATTCGTAATTATAATAAAATACAGGTTAGAACACATTTCTGAATGACATAGTTACTTAATGACCATCATTTCCATTGTCCAGAACTGGTAGCATTGTTAGCACTTGCAGAATATCATATAGAGTAGAGAATATGCTCTATATGGAATTTCTGCACATCCATCCCTGATTACTGCTTCACACTCCAGACTGCATGTACTTCCTGACTCAAGTCTTTATTCATATTCTAGCTTGAAACTAATTTTACAGCTATATTATCAAAATCTTCTTGGCTGGAATTAAAATCAGGAAACTAGAAAGGAACTATTTTGCAGTTAAAATATTTATGTACTGATTATATTTCAGAAATATTTCCCAGGTGAACAATTTTTGCATGATTAGGTTTAAAAAAGAATGGTTCCTTCTAACTCATATTTAACAAAGAAGTCTTCCTCATTTAAAAAAATCAAATTTTTATGACAATAATATATTTATGTACATTGAGAAAGTATAACATATTTTGGATATATTAGAGGAATATTATATGGTGGAATCTTTTTGCTTTATAGAGAGAGGATGATTCATTAGTTCTATAAATATTTCCTAAGGGTTAAAACACAAGTGGTGCTAATATGACTACTGTCTACATGTGATCATAGATTATTTCTGGTTGCAATAAGAGTAAGTTACACTACAGTGTAGTCAATTATGGAAGCATGTGGTAATATAAATTAATTCCATTCAGTATTGCTTTCTCTTGGCACAAGAATAGGACATTGCCAAACCAGAATAAAAGAAAAACATTAGGCATTGCATCAAAAATTGCAACCACAAGTGGTTCAGCATCACTAGAGAGTGTAGCAAGTTATGATTGGTCAGACTGAATAGGAAGCAGATGGAAGTAGAGTATGTGAAAAATGAGCTTTTAGTTCTCTCGTGAGATCAGTTCAGGATGGTAAGATAAGACAGCTTATGTAGGTATAAGAAATTTCTGGAAAATTAACCTCCTGCCATGGCTAAGTGTTTGAACTTTTCTCCTGGAAAAAAAAAAAGGAATCTGGAACATGATATGGTTTATTTAGTATTTTTTGAACACTAATTTCAGCAGTCATTTCTTTCATGTTTGCTGTGCCTGTTCCTTATTATGAAACTGGAGCCTTGAAATTTTTCACTCTCATATTTGAAAGTGAATTTATCCTCCCATATTTGGCCTCTTTGTTTAAAGTTAAAGATTGGAATCTCAGGGGAACAAGCATTTTCCTTTTATATGGTCTTCTCTTGCACTATTTTTCAACTCTACTGTGAATTTTATAAACATAACAGCGATTGCATTGGAGAAAATAGACTTTGATAGCCTCCTTTATCCCTCAGAAATCCTAATATAGCAATAGGAAGTGAGGAGGGGTCTACCAATATTCAAAGGTGTCTCCACTGTGACATTTTCCCTTGATAAACAGTAGAATGGGTCTCTTTGAGGTCATGGTAAATGGGATGGCCTGTCCCTTACACAGTGATGTCTCCCTTACAATTTCTCTTGCTGGATAGTCTATTTATATGCTCCAGAGCACAGAGACTCTGTGTGTTGTGCACCCTAATGGTTCTCTTTGTTTCTGTATCTCACTGTTTCTCTTTTTCCTGTCTCCCTCTTATGCTTCACCTCTTTCCCAGAATTTTTCTTTGATTTTCACAGAAATATGGAGGGATACATGTACAATTTTTTATGAAATACAGGCCACCACAAACATACACCCATTCAGGCAAACTCACCCATGATACCATGCATTCCAATTTTAAAGTTAACAATGTTTTGTTTTGCTTTTTGCTTTTCCAATGAATAGGCAAGAACTCTGTCCTAGAGTAGCCAGTTTGCACACAAATCCTGTGACAAGTTCTTTGAAGGAGATCAAGCCTGCAGAATGTTAACAGCAAGGACTTCACATTTGTTTATTTATGGTTTCAAAATTCTGAAGCCTTTGAAATTATATATAAGGCCACTAGGGATCTCTGAGCCGGTCATAACGCAAGCATACTATGGCTTTAGAAAGGCAGAACATCTCATATTCCATTATTGCCTGTTCTCTCTGCCCTTATCTTATAAGCATCTATGCTCACAAGCATTTCAGTTGAAATCCTATTATTTCCTCTTCACCAGATTATATAATTTTCCAGTCTATTTTCTGAGAAATACTAGCATCTCAACAAATTTTGATCCTAAGTCAAATGGGGTTTGGAAACATTAGTGTTAACAAAATATTCCCTTCTTAGAATTTCATTTAAGGAGAGAGAATAAATTCTCAAAGTGGATGCTGTTTAATCTGTTTTATATAGAGCTTTTTAAACTTATTTGTCAGCAAGATCTCCCTCCTCCAACTGTACCCGCTCAACATGCACACACAATACCAAGTGATACCATCAGATTCAATGTTTAGTATCACTGACCTAGAGAAATTTCTATCTCTTAGTATAGCATTCAAGGGCTTTGTTGGTTTGAATATTTTTTCATAATCTATTTGGCATAGTTTATTTCTCATTAAGAACTTCCCTAGTCATTATTTGAATTACAGCTGGGTCTTTGACCATCTCATAGCCACCTCACTTTATCCCAATACATGGTGACTTCTGCAGTTGATAGAACCTCATTGTTTTCCATTTGGGTCTTCATGATCTTGTACTTCTCAAACTATAAAACAGTAAGAAATAAATTTCTGCAGTTTATAAATGACCTAACTTCATGTTAAATATCAGGCCTTCAGGAAGAGTTTATGAAAGTCAATAGCACAAGAACCTGAGGCTGAAGAAGGGGTCGGGGGAATGACTGAGGAACACAAAGAGTGAAAAAGATGACATTGAACTCACATCTCCCAATGCCTAGCCTCTCATCTGCTTTTTTTACTATTACAGAAGGCATAAAAACTCATGATATCTACTCTTCATCCTTGTGATTATTATATTATGTATTACTGTTAACTATATAATAGTAAAATGCTAAGTACATTTAGATGTTATTATTTATTGTGTTTGTTTCTTAATATTCACAAAAGGAGGAAAATGTAATACAATTGCTATGTAAATGGTTTAGTAAAAGTTCAGAGAAGTTACTTATGCAATTATCCAGACTCCCTGGATCCACTTTTGTGTGGCTGTTGCTCTTGGAGCCAGCAAAGCAGAGAGGAGGAATGTAGGAAACTCTTCAATCAGACGAGAAAAGGGATGCAGAGGGCTTCTAAAGCTAAACAACAGACAGACAGGGCAATGCAGTTAGGGATGCCCGTATCCAGTTTTAACCATTCATTAAATCAGCTGCCTACAAAAACCTACAGACACTGTGGACAGTAAGAACAGGCTCACAGTGAATAAATTGCCCCGCAGATTGGACATGATTGACAATGCGCCACTTATATCCTTGGATGCCTTCACCTTGCTGCCAAAATGCAGGTGATACTTTCCCTACCCAAACATGCTAAGTAAGGTTTGGCATAAGATTAATAGAACTAGAACAATCACCCCATAAATCCTAAATATTACTTACCAAGATACCCTCTCTTGCTCTAGTTGTGAGTCTCATGTATGTTAAAACTCACACTACTACAAATACACGGGTTATGCTTTCTTTTTCTTTTTTTTTTTTCTTTTTTCTTTTTTTTTTTTTTGACAGGCAGAGTGGACAGTGAGAGAGAGACAGAGAGAAAGGTCTTCTTTTGCCGTTGGTTCACCCTCCAATGGCCGCCGCGGCCGGCGCGCTGCGGCCGGCACACCGCGCCGATCCGATGGCAGGAGCCAGGAGCCAGGTGCTTTTCCTGGTCTCCCATGGGGTGCAGGGCCCAAGCACCTGGGCCATCCTCCACTGCACTCCCTGGCCACAGCAGAGAGCTGGCCTGGAAGAGGGGCAACCGGGACAGAATCCAGCGCCCTGACCGGGACTAGAACCCGGTGTGCCGGCGCCGCAAGGTGGAGGATTAGCCTAGTGAGCCGCGGCGCCGGCCTTTCTTTTTCTATTAAAATTGAACTCTGTGTTCAGTTGTATCCTGTAATTTGGGTCCTTTTCTCAATAACCAATAGTGTTAATCATTATACTGTCTCAGAGCACATTTTCAAAATAAATTGCAATCTATGGAACCTCCATATATTTGATTATCATGAATTCAGAACTTTTAAATCCCAATTTTTTTCCTCCAAGTGTCCTCTTTTTTTCTAATATTGATTTGTTTGAAAATAAGAATTACTGACAGGCAGAGGCAGAGGGAGAGAGAGAGAAGTCTTCCATCCACTGATTCACCCCCCAAATGGCCGCAACAGCTGGTGCTGCACAGATCCAAAGCCAAGAGCCAGGAGATTCTTCCGGGTCTCCCACATGGGTGCAGGGGTCCAAGGACTTGGGCCATCTTCTACTGCTTTTCCAGGCCATAGCAGAGAGCTGAATTGGAAGTGGAGCAGCCAGGACTCAAACTGGTGTCATATGGGATGTCTTTACTTCGGGCAGCAGCTTTACCCACTATGCCTCAGCGCTGGTCCCTCCAAGTGTCCTTAATTTGGTACTCCAAACAGCAATGATTGGTCTTCAATTTATGTGAACTAGGGATGACAGCAGTAACGTAAATCTTAACCCTTAAGATAATAAAATATTTTATGAGGATATGCTTAGTCACCATATATGTCCTTAGCCCCAGCTTTAAAGATGAACTCACTTAATTATTAATTAAATATCTGGGCCAAGTTCTTGAATGTTTATACAGTAAAGGACCAATTAATTACTTATACGATCTTAGACATGTAACTCATCCCATGGTTATATATGTCGTATTCAGTTTCAGGAACATAGAGAATGCTCCTATTTCTACAATCATAAATGACCAAATATCTCTGTGAGATTTTGAAGTAGACCAATTTACAGGTGATTAGTTTATAAATATGAAATAGATTTAGCTGATCAATATTCACCCATGGACACTTACCTAGATTGAAGTGGTGCTTTGTGGATGGAGAAAGCTCTGCTCAAGGTCTGCTGTCCCTATATATTCATGCCACAGATTCCTTAAGGTTTCTCAGCTCTACTTGTGTTTTCATGGTGCCCAAAGCCTGCTGCTGCTGGCCACTTGTCTCCTATGTAGACACAAAGTAAGCTAAATATCTACTTCTATTAATTTGCAAGTACCTTATTTCTCATGTCTATGACTTTTTAACCATAGAATAGGATGGGTTTGAAGAAATGAATAAAGCATATGAAAATCTACCTAAAATATGTGCATGTCACATCATTTGGTATATGTTTACAAATATTGTCTTTTCTGAATTGTATTCCTTACATAATAATATATGTTTCTTTCCTCATTTTATGATCTTTGTTGTAAATCCCATACATCCACCTCTACTTTCAAAAACTTAACATGCTTGTTTGTATTTCATTGTTTTTATTTACATATGAAGTCAATATAAAAAAATTAAAAAATTTTAAACCAATGTACACTCAGTGAACTCTTCCTTATATTTTTCTGTATTTAAAATTAAAATATAATAAAAAGAAACTGCATAACGTTATTCAAAATTTTGAAAAGCCTATCACATTCAGGGTAAAAAAGTTTTGTATTTATTTCTTAAATAATGGGTGGGAGCATAAACAGTGGGACCCTGAGATGCCAGAGTCAGCAATTGTAATGGGCCCAACCCTCACATTCTCTGAGGTTTATAAGGCCTGCCCAGGAGGCCAGAGTTCAGTTTGAATTTGTCTTGTTCACAGCACATAGATCCACTGCACATCCCCATATACTGCTTTCTGTCAACATGCAGTGTTTCTCCTGGGTAATACTAAAGAGACCATTAACAGTTCTCATTAGATCTATACTGTCACTCATCTGCTATGAACATTTTTGGAATTATTTTTTTCAGAACCTAACAAGAGAACACTCATACAGGCAAAAGTGGATTTAAAATGAGCCAAAGCCAAGAGTTACAAGATATCCTTTATCAGTGAAAAAAAGACATTTTGGGGCAGGCCATGTGGTGTAGGTGGTTAGGCTGCCCCTTGGCATTCCAGCATCCCACGTTAGAGTGCCAGTTCAGGCCCATCTGTTCCTCAGTTCAGATCCAGAATCCTGCTAATGCATCTGGGAGGGAGCAAGGGACTGTTCTGCTCTTGCCACCCTCTTAAAAGACATGGTTGCTGGTTCCTGACTTTGACCTGGCCCATCCTTGGCTGCTGTGGGCATTTGGGGAGTGATTCAGCAGATGGAGGATCTCCCTGTCTTTCTATTGCTTGCTGCCTTCCCAATAAATCAATAAACTTATAAACAGAGAGGTTCTTGATAAGTAACACATTCTTCCAATCCTTCCATTTATTCTTTTTTAATCACAATTGCTTTATTTAGGTATTTTTATTTATGTATGCTCATTTTATTTGAGAGAGAGAGATACAGAGAGAGGGAGATTGTTCCCATCCAGTGATTCATGCCACAGATGTCCACAATGACTGGGCTATACCAGGCTGAATCCAGAAGTCCAGAAATCTATTAAAGTCTCCTACATGGGTGTCAGGGGTCCAAGCACTTCAGTCATTTCCAACTGCCTCCCAGGGAATGCATTATTAAGAAGTTGGAATCAGAATTGGAACTGGGGGGCTGGCTCTGTGACATAGTAGGCTAAGCCTCCGCCTGCAGCGCTAGCATCCCTGGTCTGTGTCCCGGCTACTCACTCTATCTCCAGTACAGCTCTCCTCTATGGCCTGGGGATGCAGTGGAAGATGGTTCAAGTGCTTGGGTCTCTGCACCCATGTGGGAGACCCAGAAGTTCCTGGCTCCTAGCTGCAGATCAGCCCAGCTCAGGCTGTTGTAGCTGTTTGGGGAATGAGCCAGTGCATAGAAGAGCTCTCTCTGTCTCTCCCTCTGTCTGTAACTTCACCTCTCAAATAAATAAAGTATTAAAAAAAAAAAAAAACAGAACTGGGACTCAAACGCAGACATTTGATATAGAATGCATTCATCCCAGCAGGAATTTTCACTGCTGCCCCAAACAGCTGCCCCATCCGTTTATAATTCTTTTTTTTTTTTTACCAGATCAAAGGGAAATTACTGGTAATCCACATAACCACAAGCTTGATTAGCTTTATGAAGTGGCCTCTTCAGCTATTCATCAATTAAACTAACTGGTTTTAGCTAACATCTAACTCTCATATGTTCTAGTCAGTGTTGAAAACACTTTGGCTATATTAATTTAGATTGTACTTCCAATAATTCCCATAGGTGAGAACTGACATTATTCTGTCTGATAGAAAATAGAAAGGAAGCAAAGAAAATGTCAATGGGAGCAATGACTTGAATGTTTTTGTACCTGGATGGACTCTCAGGAATGTCCTAAATTAAGGGAAGAACTGATGTTCTTGCAATCAGTGAAATGAACTCCCCCCAGGTAAGAGGTAAGCCTTGGATGAGGGACATCCTTCTGTTGAGGGGGATTCGTAGGGAAGTTCTTTAAGTATGAGCACTTAGCAGGAAACTTCAGCTGTTGGGAGAGTTGATACTTTGGTCCTGAAGGCAGATCTGTGCCGTGCATGAAAGCATCTATACCCGGCTGAAAGGATAAGCCCTAAATATGCTATGAAGCAGTGGATACATGAGAGCATACGCTGATAAATGAGGGGATGGTTGAATTATATTATCCTCATTTATTGTTTGGCTGTGAATTCAGCCCTCCTGTGAGGAAGTATCCTATTCACCATGTTCAGCTTTCTGTCCTCCATTTGAAAAAGAAAACACAGTATGAAGCATCATCACGGGATACCATATGTGGCAAATGATGGCTATGGAATATGAGAGCCATCTAGAAAAACAGGGACTATTCAACTTTTGGTGCAGACACCTCTGGCCACCTAAGACAAACAGAAGGAATTGCTGGCATGTGTCAAAACATTACCATGAAGAATAATGACTTTAGAAATAATACTAGTATCAAAACCAGAATTAAAGAGGGAGTGAATTGCCATATTGTGGGCTCTGTGGTAAGTATATTGCATGTACCATCATACTTGCTTCTTAAAATTCCCTGCGTATCAGGGTATCACAACCAGATGAAGTAATAGAAGTTTGCGAAGGTAGAATAATTTGTTCGATGTGACACAGCTTGACAGTTACGCAAAATATACTTGAACATGGATATTTCTAGATCACAATCCAGTGTCTTGCTGACAGAGGCTGTAACTGTATTTTTCAATCAATAGATACAACTAAAGCCTACTTTAGCCTTCAGAGACATATAATGCCTCTAAATTTCACAACAAGTCTATTGTTTGCAATGATGTCTGAGATATTTGATATTAACACTCATTTGGTAGTTTGCTATTGAACATTATTTTTGGAATTTATTGTTGTGTTTCTTCATCATAATTTGTCTGATAAGCGAAGCAGCAGTGTAGCAGCGACAGTTCTTGTGGTTCCAATGAGAAGGTTTAGGCTCAGATGAGGACTCCTTTTGTTGTTTTCGATTCTCTGGTCTGCTGCCTCATTCCATTATCCAGCTAAATTGGTGGAATTGCCGCCGTCTTTCCGGGCTGATACCATTCTGGATATTTTAAGTTATCTGGGCTGAATTTTAACAGTATAAAAATAAGCAGCATACAGACTGCTGTGACTTACTTCTGTGATGATTCCTGTCTCTAAGTCAAACACAGAGAGTTTCCAAGAGGCTAAGTGACTTCTACAAATATCACTGAGATTGAACATGGAGCCATAAAAAAAGAAAGACAAAAAGATGTCTATCTCAAAGTTTTTTTTAACTATGTGTTTTGCTACCACAACACATTTATTTACTTATTTTAATTGTTTATTAACTGGTAATACTTCCATATTTTATGAGTAAAGTACAGTAAGTTGACCAAATCAAATAACTGGCATTTCCCTTTTTTAAACTTTCACACTGTAAAGAGAGCATGAAGTATTTTTCTTTCTGTGCCTGGCTTATTCCCTTAACATAATAACCTCTAGTTATTAAGCATTTTGTTGCAAGCATCAGTATTTCATTCTCTTTTATGCCTGAAGAGTATTGCATTGTGTATATGTACCACATTTTTCTGTACCATGTATTTTAATTAAAATTATAATTATTGTATTGAAAGAGCAAGTGTGAGTGAGATCTTGCATCCACTGGGTAACTTCCTTAATGCTCACAACAGTTAGCAGCTGGAACACAATCTAGGTCTCCTACATGATTGACAAGAACCCAAGTACTGAGTCACCATTTCCTGCTCCCGGGGTGTGCATTAGCAGGAAGCTGGATTAGAAGTGGGTAACAGAAACTCATACTAAGTCTTCTGATAAGGGATGTGACCATCCTAAGCAACAACTGAACCATAGAGCCAAATTCCTGCCCCTACTTTCCATCTTTTTACAAAATAGCTGTAGCCCTTGATGTACTAGGAAAACATCACTTTTTTTTTTTTTTTTTTTTTTTTTTTTTTTTTTTTACTTTTTTGATCCCTGCTTCTGAAATACTTAAGTGGTGTTTCTATTAAGCTGATGGCAAAAGTGTGGAGCCACAATCAGGTGAGACTTGGGAGAAATCTCCTGCTTCAGATACGAACCGTATGTGTCTCTCTGCTTCTGGGAACTCACTGAATGATACTGAACAGTGTATTTTTTCTCCTTCAGGAGTTGAGCTCTTTCCACCTGGTGCTGGATACTTTTATTTACTTATTTATTTTTTGAAAGGCAGAGTTACAGACAGAGAGGGAGAGTCCAAGAAAAGGGTCTTCCAAATGCAAGTTCATTCCCCAAATGGTTGCAACGTCCTGAGCTGGGCTAACCCTTAGCCAGGAGCTTCTTCCGGGTCTTCCACATGGTTGCAGGGGTCCAAGCATATGGGCCAAATTCTGCTGCTTTCCAAGACCATTAGCAGAGAGCTGGATCAGAAGAGGAGCAGCCAAGACATGAACTGGTGCCCATGTGGGATGCTGGCACCACAGGCAGAGGCTTAGCTTGCTATGCCTCAGTGCCAGACTTGGACACTATTTTTTTTTAAAGCTACTGCTTTTTCTCTCTGTGTTGTATCTTTTACTTTACCAAAAACACCCAAAATCTTTTGAAGTAAGGTCATTACTTTGATCAGTACCAATTCTGTTGCATCTAATGATCTCTGTTTTATCCATTTTTCAATGTCAAAGGATTTGTTTCATCTTCAACTTTTTTCCATTTGGATAGTCAGAGAAACTTTGGTCTTTTTTCAGTCAAGTAATTCATATTTTTTCTGAACATTTGCTTAACAACTCTATTATTTACATTTTAGCAAAACAATTCAAGTTAGAATTTGCTGTTCATTCTCCTCTCTTCATCAGCATAATATTTATATTACTTATATTAACATGTACTGACATAATGACAAATAATTTCAACACATGGTAGCAGGAACCATAATAGCAATATGTGAACATAGCAATGGGAGAAAATTCAATTCTGATGGTAGAATTATATTTTTAAGATTTATTTGTTTATTTGGTTGGAAAGTATAGGGACCGAGAGACAGATACAGACAGAGAGAAAGAGAGCGAGAGAGAGAGAAGAGTGATCTTGCATCTACTGATTCACTGCATATATGATGTTACAGCCAGGGCTGGCCTAGGTCCTCCAAGTGTTCCACATGGGTGGCAGGTCTCAAGCACTTGGGGCATCTTCTCCTGATTTTGAAGGTGCATTAACAAGGGTCTGGATTGGAAACAAGAGTAGTTGGGCCATGAATTGGCACTCAAATATGGGATGCCAGCATTATAGGTGGTGGCTTAATCTGCTGGACTATACTGCCCATCCCTGGTAATTCAATATAAGTGACTGTTTATATTACAAAAGACCCTTGAGCTTGATTGTACAAAGTAAGAAGGAGAGTATGAGAAAAGGAAGGGCAGATTAAATGACTCAAAAAATTGCATTAATGATGATTAATGAGGTTAAGACATCAAGGAACCGAAAATCTGTATCAGACTTCTGGAGATGCAATTACTGAGTGATTTTAAACAATAAAAATGGTTTTCACTGCCTTTACAATAGAAAGTGCAAGCAAGGTTGTCTTCTGGTGAAGCCTCTACCCTTGACTTAAAGATGGATGCCTTTTCTGTCTGTGTTTCTTTGTGTGTACACTTCCTTGGTGTTTCTTCCCTTTTTTCACAAGGATACCAGTTTTATTGGATTAGGACTCTAGTCCTGATATGTCTTGCACTATTTATAAGGGTTCCAGTGTTAATGGGCTCTATCTTATAGCCTTATTTGCCTATCATTACTTTCTTAAAGGCATAATCTCCACATGAAGTCACATTTGGGGTTCTGCCTTATACAAATACGTTGTTGGGGAACACAATTCTTCCCATCACTCTTGCACTCTGGATCTTCCAAATCCATGTATTCCTTTTATGTAAAATCATTCACTCCATTCCAAAGAGCCTCAAACTGTAACACATTTCAATATCAATTCTGAGTCCAAAGTTTTATCTAAATATAATCTAAGTCAGGTATGATTCATTCTAAAGCATAATTCTTACTCAGTTGTGCACCTGTGAAACCAGACAAATAATTTGCTTCCAAAATACAGTTGTGACACAGGCATAGGATACACGTTCATTCCAGTAAAGTAACAACAAGCAGAAGAAAGATGAGCTGGGTCACAAGCAAATCTAAAGCATCACAAGGCAATTCCATTAGATGCTGGAGCTTGAAAATAATCACCTGGCTCACTGGGGATTTCAGCATGACGCTGATGGATCCACGCGGGGATCCTGCTTTATTATAGGGTGATAACCTTGCCTGAAAAGCTATAGCTGAGAGCCCCTGCTCCCAGGGCTGGAGGTCACGGCCTTGCCCCTGAAGCACTGGACAATGCATTCTGCACACCAAAATCGAGGACGAGATTGTCTCTTCATTCAAAACTGACGAGGAGGCAGCCTCTGAATCACATTCAAGTCCGTTTTTCCATTTTCCTAAAGAATAAGGCATGTTTTACATCCCATAGCTCTACTATTCTACCTGGAGAATTTCTAAAACCCAAAATCCTTCCTTATTTCATCCTCCTTTCAAAAAAAAAAGTAGCATATTGGCTGGTGTCATTCGATCTATATTTCAGGTTTCTGTTTATATGGCTGTTTGAAATTATGTGTAATCTTTATGTAACAAGTGTTCAAGTATCCTGGTGTTCTCCCCAGAATACTTTTTTTTTTTGCAATATGGATAGGTTGGTAATTTTCCAAATTTTTAACTTTCAATTATTTTTGCTTAGGGATTCCTCCCACATTTTACTATAAGCAGCAAGTAGAAAACAGAAGGTACTCGCAATAATCTGATGAAAAATCTCTACAACGAAATACCCAAATTCATTACTTTCACCATCCACTTTATAATAAGCATAAAAATATGCTTCACCTAAGTCTGTCGCCTTTCCTCCAATGTCAAGTGACATTATCCACATTTCCATGTGAGACCTCACCAGAATCACCTTTCATATCCGTATTTCTGCAAGGCACCTTCGAGACAATCTTCATCTTTCCATGTGACATAACAAGAGCTCATCTGGGAAATAAGAAGGATTATTTTAATGGAGTAGGAATCAGAAAACTATAGGGCCTATACGTTCTATGAGAAGCTGAAAAAAGGTAGTGGATTCTGAAGCACAGAAATCGTATTTAGGCTGTTTTTATTTTTCGGACACAAAGCTCCTTGTGGGGTAGGAGTGGGTATACCATTAAGAACAAATGACCAGGGCTGGCATTGTAGAATAGTGGGTTAAGCTGCTCCTTCAACGCCAGCATCCCACGTGGGCAAAGGTTTGACTCTCAGCTGCTCCACTTCTAATACAGTCCCCTGCTAATGTGCCTGGGAAAGCAGTGAGTGATGGCCCAAGTCCTTGGGCCTCTGCCACCCAAATGAGAGCTCTGGAAAAAGCTAATGGCTCCTGGCTCTTGATTCCTGGCTTTGCACCAGCCTGGCTGTGGCTACTGTATCTATTTAGGTAATGAACCAGTGAATGGAAGATTTTCTTTCTCTCTCTCTTTCTCAGTCTGCCTTTCAAATAAATAAATATTGAAAAAAGGACAAGAAATGACAGCAGTAACAAAGGTAAAGCTAAAGGGTATATTCTATGAACTATCACATCAAGTTTCCCCTGAATTTAAGAGCACTGATAACTTCAAATTTTGTACCATAGACACATTGTAACTAAGAACAGTATAGCATAAAATTCTCTTAACTGATAGGTATCAGCAGTGAAATTAAACAGTAGAAAGGAAGCGACAGAAAACAAGGTCATATTCATATTCCGAACTGTTTATATTTCATTTCATATTCCTATTATGAACTGTTATATTCTTAAGTGTTTGGCTGTTTCTCCTTACTCATCTTTTGGAGGTTTTTTTTTTCTGGAAGAACTTCAGGAAACAAAGTCTAGCTGAAGTCAAGCTTGTACAGGAATATATTGCCCAATGTATTGTGCACAATTGTGTTGTGCTTTGAAATCACCTAGACAATATTTCAGGAACAGATTGATAAATTTCATTCCAGAATTTTTGGAATAGGTATGGGAGAACCCAGGAATGTACATTGTTCTCAAGTGATGCTGAAGTTGTTGGTCTTCACTTTGGGAACCTTTGTCAAAGAGGAAGCTCCAGACATTTGTTCTACTGAAATGCCCAAAAGGTACAAATACTACAGCTAGCACACACACACACACGTGCACACACGTGCACACACAAACATAGTGTATACATAATGCATTTTCTATATAATATACAACTCTACAACTAAAGGAAACGCATAGATGTTTAGAAAAGGAAAGAGAAATCTTAGAATCTAATAATCAGGTATATGAATTTGTGATATCTGGAGAAATCAACTTTAAATTGGGACAATATAACCATAAATATTGTAGAAAAATGGATTTCTCCTTATAAGCCACAGCTCTAACAAATTAGAATTCTGATAGTGAAATTTTAAATGAAAGCTTTCAACTATCTATCATTTTATCCATCTATCAACACATTCACTTATTTATTTTCTAAATATTCGTGAGCACTTAATAGATTCGACCTACTAATAAATGAGTGCATTGCCTTGATTTTGTTTCAAAAGGTAAATATCTTTTTCAGAATATATTACTAATTCTTTTGGTTGTAATCTGACCACAAATTCTAGAATGAGGATAAATATTCTGAAATAAACATCCAAAGTATTAATTTGCTTTCTTTTATTATTTCTCTCCCCTAATTCTGTTTATCTGTCAACCTATTTTCACTTCTTTCCTCTTCAGATGCTCTCTTACTCTTAAAATGCTAGAATTATCCATTCATAAGTGATGGTCAAGTAATTTTTGAGTTTCTGAATATTCTTTGGTTTGTCACATACAAGTCTTGATGTAAGTTCCATATTTTTCTCTCATTAAATATACTGTGGGGGACTTCTTTGTTGAGGAAGGGCTATTTGTCTCCTATTGAAATGAGAGATGAAAACAAAGTAAAAGAGACAAAGACAAACTGACATTTATTTTACATTTATTTTCCACTAATTTAAAATAATCATAAAGAAGAATTACTTTTTTAAAAAAAAGATTTGTTTATTTGAAAGAGTTATACAAAGAGAAGGAGAGGTATAGAGAAACAGAGAGAGAGACTGTTTCACTCCCCAATTGACTGCAACAGTAGGAGCTGCGCTGATCTGGAGCCAGGATCCAGGAGCTTCTTCTAGGTCTCCCATGTGGGTGCAGGAGCTCAGGGACTTGGGCCATCTTATACTGCTTTCCCAGGCCATAGCAGAGAGCTGGATCAGAAGAGGAGCAGCCAGGACTAGAACTGGCGCCCATATGGGATGCCAGCACTGCAGGTGGTGGCTTTACTGGCTACGCCATAGGGCTGGCCCCTGGAAGAATTATTAAATCATACTGATTGCCAAGAAAACTGAGGCCTTGAGAGTTAAAACGGTAGGGAATTCATTTATCGTGACACTGGGATTTACCTCAGGCGTGCCTTAATCCAAATGAAAGCCTGAACAGTCTATTTATATCTAAAGAAATCACTGGGTATTGTCCTAAGGTTGGAGCCCTGGCCAGGGTTCTGCTCCTCATGTTGGGCATTTATTCTGATTATTTCATCTGAGATTTCCCCCAGTAGATTTTCTGTTTCTCAGTACATGGGGCAATTATATCAGTGAGTGATCTCCTCCTCCGTTAGAGCAATTGGTTCCCTCCAGTTTACCTGTGTCTGTGTGTAATATTAATATGCAGAGGTGTGTCCCCCTCTGCACTAACCTCCTCTTCACTCCAATTATGCAGGTGCCTGAGATCCACCATTGGTGTTGTTAGTTGTATTTAATTGAGAAAGAGTCACAGGTCATAAATCTACAAAAATGGTGCTCAACCACGAGGTACATACAAATTAAAGTTCTAGATCGCATTTATTTCCCACTTTTTCTGTGCTCACAATATCCTCCTCTTGTTCATGTAATGAATCCTTATTTTTTTAATGACAGTGATTTGATGCCTTAAATTACCAGAAATCAAATTCATTTCCCTTAGCACTGGGCTTATAGGTGAGAACCTTCAGTTGTGCGTTCTCCAAACTTCTTGTAATGCTACTAAGTACAAGCAAACAAGCATCTACTACAGTAATTTTAATGTTTTCTCTCTATGTACTTGAAATATATTAAAAACAGAATGCGTTATTTGAAATATTAGTGATGTTCATGGATTAGAATCTTTATTGGTGAACAGAGAGCATATACAGACCACCCAGTCAGTGCAGCAGAACATATCTTGCTGACTCAAAGGGAACATCTTCCAATGACTGTGCTTTTCACATTCATTATTCAGGATCATGTTTCAAAGTACTTAAGAATCCACATCTACCAAAGGTCATACCTCTCTTTGCTTTAGGTGATATTAAAGAAAATAACTACTTCTCTTGAACTATCCAGAGATTCAAATGTAATTTTGACATTTGCTGCTTTGAAATAATGGTGCTGATTAAAATTAAAATTATAATAGAAATTGAAAATTAAAATGACAAAAAAAGGCCCTGGAGTGCATACAAATGTATATAAAATAGAATCAAAGAAGAAGAGAATACCTGCAAAATAGTATGCCAGAATTCATTTTTGAAGTAGAATGTTAATAATTGTAATGGAGGCTTAAAACGATATGTGAAATTAGGCAGCTCTTACCACACTATCTTGAGTACATGGTCACTTGAATTGTAAGAAACTAGATGGAACATGAATTAAGGTGCTCAAAACCAGAAAGGTCAGGATGCAAAAATTATTTGAACATTTTTTCATTCATTTCATAGCTTAAAAATTAAGAGGGAAATACAGAATAAACTCACCATTTTAGACATAGTATTTAACTCCCAAAATTAGTATTATTTAACTCCTATACCTATGTATAATAAATTACTTTGCACTTCAATTAGCCAATAAGTGACTTTAACCTCCCCTCTACTATGTGAACTTTGGCAGTCTCGTGTTAAATATCTAAGGAATAGATAATGAAAAAAATTCAAGGACACCCTCTTGATGACAGTTTAATTAGTGATTGTTATGTCAATTAATAACTTAATACCTCACCTTCAAACAAAATATGTGATCTTATGCCTATTCAAGTGTCCTGTAATTATTTTTGAAGGTTTATTTTTTTCTATTTAATTGAAATGCAGAGTTACAGAGAGAGAGAAGAGAGAGAGAATCTTCCATACACTGGTCACTCCCCAAATGGATGCAATGCCCAGGACTGGGCCAGGCCAAAGCCAGGAGCCTAGAACTTCTTCTGTGTCTCTCACATGGGTACAGGGGCCCAAGGACTGGAGCCATCCTCTACTGCTTTCCCAGCACATTAGCAGGGAGCTGGATTGGAAGTGGAGCAGCCAGGTATTACAGTCAGAGGTTTAACCTACTAGGACACAATGCTGGCCCCTTACCTAATTGTTTGAAAGATTGTATTAGTTCTCTATTGTTGTATAAAATATTAACAGAAACTTAGCAATTCACCAAAATGCTGTTTGCTTTTTTTCCAAGATGGCAGAAGTATTTCTCTTTCAGATCTTCTAGAAACAGGTGGATTAAATGCTTTGTTTCTCAAAAGACTCACCTGATTAGGACAGCTTCACCAAGCAATGTTTCCCAGTTTTAAGATGAACTGCTTTGAGATCTTTTAATTATATCTGTAGAATTTGTTCACAGCACTATATCGATTAGTATTTCATGATATAAGATAAAGTGTCTATAACCTCAGTTCTTGGATCACTAAGGATATGTCAAAATTCCATCTACCACAAAAACTATGAGTGAAGTCTTTTTACATATCAAAAAGATTTTATAATAGACTTTCACTGGAGAACAGCATGAACTTGAAGGATCACAAAAAGAAATTTGAGTTCACACTCAGACTATCTTGTCTTAACTGTCAAGTTCTATCTAGTGAGTAAAACTTCTACTTCCCTCTGCGAAAGCAAATTTCCACATGCCTATAGATAGGCTATCTATTACATCTTGGCACATGTCTGCCAATATTTTAAAAATATATCCTATTGTACAGTAAATCATATGGTCTGTTTATGTGACTATTGGTATATAATAAGAAAATATGTATAAAATCTTGTAGCATGTTTGACTAATAGGAGGTACATAAAAAATAGTTGTGTTGATGCCTCTCTTTCACCAGCCTAGATTTGTAGAAATACTGTTGTGGAAAATATGCCACATCCAATGAAGAATACAAAAAAATAATCACCCACAGTTTAAGTTAGGCTAGGGATGTCAGAAAATTAGGAAAAAACATGCAGACTCAAACATTATAAGTAAATTCATTTTAAAAACTCGAGTTATCAACTATTTTTATGGGTATTGCTATATTAAGGTTCTTAGAAAAGACAGAATTTTTAAAATTTTTTAAAATATGAATTTTAAAATATGAATTTTCTCTCTATCAGTGAGAAAGAAAAGGCATGCATTCCAGCATGGAGAAACTTACATCAAACTCTGAGGATGAGCAACATCGGAGGTAATTAGAAGTTCCATGTGGACAGAGCACAGAATTATGACAGAATCCAGTGACAGTAGGAGTCAACAAGGTGAAGTCCATTACAAACAGTAAAGGATTTCTGACAGCCTGGCAAGGAATATATATGTTTTTAATAGGTGACTGACACAACCACAGCCTGTCAAATGATTGTAAGGGTCAAGAATTGAAAGAGGAAATAGGATCAGGAGAAGCTTCCTATTATTGAACAAAAATAATGGTGTCTTTAGTTAAGGTAGTAGTGGCATAAAGAAAGAGGAAAGAGCAAAAATACAAGAATTAGAAGAATACACTTTTCCCTATGTGTGTACACACATGAAATAAAATAATGTGTATGTGTACACACAAGCACATCTATATACGCACATGTACATTCTTTTATTTCATATTTTTACATATGAGTGAAAGTGCCTCAAAAACTACTCATGGATCTCCGGCAACTTTGCATCGAAATAAGCTTAT